GGCACGCGTTGGTCACGCTCAACGTCCAATTTTTGTACTCTGATTGGTCAAAATTTGAGAGGTGAGTTCATGCGGAAAATTTATGCAGCATCTTGAAAGTTGTTTACTTTGACCGCTAAAGCTGACAGAGTTTTGTGTCAACTTGTGATGTTTTTAACTGTCTTTTTCGACTGGGTGTACAAAAAGAAATACAGCTGCTATCAAGAGTCTTCTGTTATCCATGGCTGGTTTGTTTATTGGGATTTTTGTTGAGAAATGCTTCGCTTGTCAAAATTGGGTAATCCGATTTCGGATGGCATCGTTTTTGTCTTTCGCCTTGCTCAATGCGTTAGAGGGTTTAAAAGTCTCAAGAAACTATGGCCTTCCTTGATATCTTTCAGGAACTGAATCTCGAATGGTAAGCCTGAGTAATTATTGTATTTGATGTTTGTTTTTGTGATATCTAATTTCATGAAGTCGAGCACAGTTTATGCGGCAAGTTTTTGCACGTTTGTTTACGATTTGAGTCAATGATGTGATCTAGTATCAGGTTTGATATAAGCTTACAGAACTTTAAAAGGCCTTCAGATATATTTTCTCACGGCAAATAGAAAAAAAACGTTCCGAAGAATATTTAGTTATAAATTTGGCTGTAGAAAGAAAACTTTGAGTGATTTTCTTGCTTCGAGGACTTCATCTTTGAAAAAAAAACAAACACCGGGAGGCCGGCTGTAAGTAAAACAAAATAAACTTAAGCTTAAGCTTCAAGCTTAAACGGCTCAGGATTTTTAGAGACACTTTAATACTTGTCTTCGTGAATGAAAATTGTTGTCTCTGTAAGTGTTTTACCGAATTACATTTCTTTTATTGATTGTTAGTAGTCTCTCTTGCAATTTTAGAGCGGTTTTCACTTGACTGTCGTAAAACCAAAACCAAAGTAAATACACTAGCCAAACAAAGGCCGTAGTAAAACCAAAACCAAACCAATTCCTCAATTACTTTCGACAGTCAAGTGAAAACCGCTCTAATCGCTTGTCCGTGGTGTTTGTTTTCATCGTTCATGAACATCGCTTGCAGGAGTACTTAGAAATGTCGCGCGTATCAAACGCTTTATGACATTACACATCGTTATAACTGGAACCATTAAATAACAACAAATAATGATAATAAATTCGTTATTATGTTGAAGCGTATCTCCATTAAAGTTCATTCAAACACTCGACCACACTGACAGCTCGCACTAAAAATGAGAACTGGCTGGCCGTATGGGTGATTTTGGGAATTTTTTGAACGGTTTCACTAAAAGCCCACGATTGATCGTCCTGAACATTGAAAAATTGTGAAATGCCGTATTCTGTCCGAGGTCTGTATGATAAAAAGTACTGTTTCACCTCAGATGTGATGTATAAAAAGTATAAAAGGTTGGTTTACAGAAATGTTTGCTGTTTTTTGGGTTAAGTTAACTGATTTGTGGATTACAAGTTTATAGTTTGATTTAAAATATAAATTTATTAATGGGAGCTTCGCTTTTAGCCCTGGCTAAATCTATATATTATTGTTTAACTTGTTCACTCCCATTGGTTGTGCTTTGAATCAGTTTTTGCCTTCCACTGATGCATGAGTTTCTGTTTTAAAGTAATTTACAGACAAATAGAAACTTGAATCCGGTTCTAGCATGGATGGTGGATGTTTTCTTTGTACATCTTGTAAACGTGCACCGGATCACGGTCGATAGAAATGGCATCGTTGTTGGCATACATTCGCGGCTTGATCGGCCGTTGATTCCGTGGATCCTCTCCCTTTCTAGTCTTTGTTTGTCGTTCAAAGTACTCGAGATATTCTTTACCATCACTCTCAGTTTTCAAAACGATGTCTTCCCAGTGGAGTTCTTTTTGTTCCTTACATCCGCGAAGGCCAAAGTGAATCATGTTGTTTAGCCACACTGTATTTAACAGAGCTTGCGGTGAACTTAATCCAAGCAACTTTTTGTCAAAAAGAATCTCAATTTCGTCGTTCGTAAGAGCCGTTGTGGCTTTTGGTCCGTTTCCGAGTCCATGACGCTTGAGTTGCTTTTGTTTCGATTTCAACGCGTCTCTTGTTTTTTTGAAACACTGTCTTTGAAGATAGTTTTGCCGTAACTGGAGCGACTCAAATGGCGTTCAACACTAGCCAAAATTCCGCGGAGAGATGACGGTTCATAATCTTTTCCAGTCTTGGTCCTTGCCGCTAAAACAAACTGGCTCAAGTAGCTGTCTAATTCAGTTGGAGGAATCTTCTCTATTTCTCTGATTTCGTGGCGCTTTTCTACCAGAAACTTTTTGACTAATTTTAAGTCGTAGAAGGTCTTTTTTTTAGTGTTTGCATTTTCTTCCCCCTCAATGAATTTTTCAACATCACTTTCCGAGACTTCGGCAAATCTTCCTGGATGTTCTTCAAGCTCGGAAAAAGTATCGATGTGAAAATTTGGCAGCTCATCGAAAAAGTTACCGGTAACTGTACCGTCTTCGCACCTCGAAGCCATTTTGTAAATGAAATTTCAAAACAACCGGCCGCGCGCCTGAGCGGGAAGCTCTCTTGTAATTGGCTAATCATGTTAGTAACCATGGCGACACCAGCATCCTCACACGTGAAAGATAAAAATAGTATCTTCACTGGGCGCGATGAAGATATGATTTTTCAGTAAAAAGAAAAATCCTGGTATTTCATCAGTATCTATAAATAAAAGAAGTTAGTTTCATTGTATTCTACCCCCTTTGAAATGCAAGTCTATTTTTACTGTAAGACCTTGGATATTAACTAATACTCTTTTGTCTCTACTCTTTTATCTTTTCAGGATTTCCAAAACATGATAAAGCAACAGCTGTTGCAAACATTTTTTTAACAAACTTAAAATACCAGAGGCAGATCGAGGATTTTTGAATGGTGGGTCGATGATACCAATCAGCCACTAAACTATATGTTTAATTTTAAGTTGTTGCACTTTTGTCCCAAAGCATGGCAATTTAGGAAGGACGATGGCTGGTTGGCTTCACAAGGTTTTTGCGTCCTATGTATTTCGATTGGTTTCTCAAAGCATTATATTATTTTGTGCCCTCTTCTAAAGAAGGGTGGCTAGCCATTCAATCCACCCCTCCTGAATACAAACACTGACACATGTACTACCAATTGTTGTTGATGAGTGGAGAAATTAAAGCTTGAAAGCAACTCCAAACTCATTGTGCTCCTTAATATTTAAGTAATACCAAAAAACTAAAGAGGAAATTAATTTTTTTCTCAGGTTATTTCTGTTTTCCATTTGTTTCAACGTCATTAGCACACATTACCATACCCCAAAACAAAAGAAAAACAAAAATTACCTGAGATAAAAAAGTAACTTTCAAAACACTGTCAAATGAGAAACCATGAAAAATTAAACACAAGTTTGCTGAGCTAATTTAGCACGTCCTACTGGGTGGAACTATTTTCTTAGCTTATACCATTCAGAAGGACAAGACAATTTTTTAAAATAAAAATCACTCCGGTTCGGTTATCCTTGGATTTCAAATGTCAAACCAGAAAAAGGGTTTTGCACTTCCCCATCACTGTTAAACCTGAGTACTCCCTATAAAGTGTCCTCCTGGGTAGACATTCTTAGGTGATTACAACAACAAGGAATGAATAAAACTATCTTTGTTCAGCTGATCCCAGCTGGTAGGAAAAAACCTTCAGAGAGCAAGGTATGTATTACAATGTAACAATAACAAGCTGCATGATATGTAGTAATACATGCAAGCAACTGCTGACATAGTTTAGGATGTCCTGCTAGGCGGTACTATTTCCTTAGATAATACAGGCCAAAACGACAAGGCATTTTTTATGAGAAAAAACCACTCCTGTTTAGTTATCCTGGCCTTTTGGAAACCTAAAGAATCACCTTTTAACAATAAGAAACCCAGATATGATATACCTCCTAACAAATGTTGCTAGAACTCAGGATGTCCCGCTGGACGGTACTATTTTCTTTAGTAATACCGGCCAAAAGGACGGGGCCACTTTTATGAATAAAAATATATTCCTATAGAGTTATCCTAAGCTTGTAGAGACCTACAGAAATCAAGTTCTACAACACCGTTTAACAATGAAAAAAAACAAGTTATGATATACCTCCTGACAAATGTTGCTAAAACTCAGAATGTCCCGTTGGACGGTACTATTTTCTTTGGTAATACCGGCCAAAAGGACAAGGCCACTTTTATGAAAAAGAATGTTCCCATAGAGTTATCCTATGCTTGTAGAAACCTGCAGAAATCCAGTTTCTACAACGTAGCTTAACAATGAAAGCTAGAGGTGATGTACATGTCAACAAATGTTGCTATAATTTAGGATGTCCCGTTGGACGGTACTATTTTCTTCGGTAATACCGGCCAGCGGGACAAGACAAACTGATAAACATTTATAAAAGGACTGCTTAATACAGGACTAAGAACTGTTGGAAGGTCACAATAAACGCAAGCTTCGTCAACAATACCGTAAATCACGCTTCTCTGGCGATAAAACGGCTCCTCTGGCTGCCAGTTTTCACCACGCTTGGGCCGCCATATTGGATGTTTTCGAGAATTTCCGAAGTCAGCCCGAATCGGAAACTCGTTCCTAGTACTCCTCGGCTGTCCTTTTGGGCGGTATGATTTTGGCACAACCGTGGCTCTGGACGCAACGGAAAATACGAATTTTTTCATTGGCTGAAGGCAATTGAATGCGCAAAGCAAATCAAAAATATAATCTGCTACGCATAACATTTTACTTCGTGCCCTCTCGACCTCCAAACATAAAATCAGTGTCTGAGTTTCGTTGATTGCGACAATCCTGTTTTGTTTATATGCAATAGCAGTGAAGAAGAGAATTGCAGGTAAAGTTTGAGAAGTTTATACGAAGACAACGAGCCTTGACAAAGAAAGTATTGCCTTCGTTGTGCACTAAACTTTGCCCCTGTCTCGACCGTCGCATCTCATAGGAAACTGAAAGGAGGAGTAATGGTTAGTTAGCTCTTGCTGTTGCTCCTTGCTCGTTAAAAATCAAGCGATTGAGACTGTACTTGTATGGCGTTATTAATTAGCCTGATCAGTTTTTCTAATTCCTCTGGATATTCGTCGGTGCTACAGTAGGAAAGTAAATCAAGCTCCGACACGTTACGGAAATGAAGCTAAATGATACGTACGTTAAGTTTATTGCAGTGTGCCTTTAATTTATCGTATTTTCTGCTGAAAGAACATCTCCTTTGCTATACTAAGGTAAAGATAATATTTTGTTAAATGCCGTTATTCCATTAGACCACTGATGGCAGTGCACAAAGCCAGAACTGAATTTACTTTGAATCATTTTGGGCTGCATGCAAAAGGCAATTTTTTCCGCATTTTGTAAAGATGATAGAGCAAGTACTCTTTCCAATTTTTCTTCCACTTAATTAATGCTGAAATCATGCTTAGATAATTCGGAGGCCTTCTTTTAATTTTTATTTTAACGGTAAAAATTGGGCTGTGAAAGGAAAAGCTATGTGGCCCACTTGTTACAAATGTTTTGCAATACGATATTCGCATCCTAACAGTCCTTGCTTGGCTTCCAGTCATGTGGCATTTAGACAAAGATAAACAAGGGGCTCTGGGGTTATTTATAACTGATGAACAGTTAACAATGAAGCAGCTTTTGCACAATTTTTCTTGATAAATATTTATGTTATCTGATCACTACATAGGGTAGCACAACCTTCTCACCCTTTTTGGTTTAAGAATTCTAAAATACAAGAAAACGGAACTGTTTGTACTAGGCATACATTATGTGAAAACGGGTCTACATTTTTTGACGATGTTAGGGACAACTGAGGCGTTAATAAATTAAATGATAAATGAACAACAGCCTAGAGTAGTCTATTTTGCATCATACTGGGGTAAGGGGTTGTTGATGATAACAACTGAATTTTGCAGTTTGTCACCTTTGATAGGGTAGATAACATTATAGCTTGATCAACAGTAATATAACACAAAATAATTTTAAATTTGTTATAACACAAAATAATAAATTTTAAGAGAACTAAAAAATTATACATTATCAAAACCTGTGAGAAGATATTGTACTTTAACTCTATAAGGCACCGCATTCAGTTTCAATACAGCTGCAGAGGGTGGGCATGGGGGGTGGGGCACTATCCCCCAAAAATCAATTCAGATTCACCCCACAGTATGCTTCTTGCCTTGCCAAATTTTGACCAAACTATGTGATTTTCACTATCCTTTTTCAGGCCTGATCCAAAGTTCTATCCCCATTTTCAAACCTTGCAGGTCTTGCAATCCAGTCTCAAAACATGATGAGAGCAGCTACCCAAGAAAATGCTTTGGGTTGTGTGTTACTCAAAGTGTACTTCTTAACAGGGGGATCTCTTAAAGGATACAGTCTATATACAGTGCATATATCACTCTACATTTCACTGTTCCAGATAAGAAAGTACAGCTATATAGCTTATGATAACCCATTCTAGGTATTCAGATAGTGAGAAGTAGAGCATTAAAAAAGCAGGGTTATTTTTAAGTTTTGTTCTCTTTGCACCTTCCCCAATACCTGAATGTCTGGCACAGGCATAAACTACTGCTTTTAAGCATCCCTCAACTTATAAGTCCCCCAGTTATAGGCCCATTTACCAGTGAACAAAATGTCCCCCTGGTTATAAGCCCTCCCCTAAGAAAGAAAAAACCCTTAAAACCCCTTACAAAGATGTGTAACCCATGAGCTCATAAGTGGTACTTAAACAGGTTTCTCTCTGAATACATTTTCATAATTACTATCACTTCCTACTAAACTAGTGTCCTGGGAAACACTTTTCATTAGTAAACGGTAATCAAAAGTGCATATAACTGTTTATACCCCTACAACAGAGGTGACAAGAGCTCACCTACACTGTGAAAGTTACAAAACCATGAATACCACAAATATTAAGGAATGCTATTGCGTTGCAAAGAAAAAGCTAATAAGGGGTGAGAAAACAAAACCTCAAACAGTGATGGTAATTACTTTGTGGTTTTGAGGTTTGGTCATGCATGTGTACTGAACATTATTAAAAACTGAATCATTGGATAATGCAGTTCTAGCATTTTGATTGGCTTAGCCGTTATGGTATATGAGCTATTATAACTTGCTCTCCATATATGGTCGGTGTACGCGTCAGTTTAAAATTGGAAGCTAGCTGAGATTTTTTTTCGCGAAGGATAGAACGGCGCCCGAAGCAAATCGTTTTAATTCATTTCTTAGAATACTAGAAATGCAATTTCATCAAAAGAAAAAAGACAAAAACAAACAAAAAAAGCCACAAGAGCTTGTTTGAAAGTTTGTCGAAAAACACATGAAAACGCATGGAACTAAAGTACCTTGACCAGCTACGAAAGGAGACAAGTGTTGTTTCTTCATGATCGCGAAGCCATTCGCCGATCGAGTCACTCGCCGATAGATAACTGCGGCTTGTTTATCCGACGTCAAGAATATAAATCACAAGTACCC